GAGACCTTGATATTGAGCGTTTATTCGACCATGGAACAAGCACTGCATCTAGTTCATGTGGCTCATTGTCTTCTCCGCTCGACAATGTTGATGATCGTCTTGTTGAAGCATGCAATAGAGTAAGTGATTTCTCAGCGCTTTCGTTTCGTTCATACACAATTTTGTTGGACTTGCTTGAGTCGGCATCATTTTTGGCTTCTAGAAATACCATTCCAGATACTGCACCAGAGCATTTCCTCCTGGCTTTGATACATGGCGTGCATTCAGGGATCTTTCCATCGCACTGGGTGATAAAAGTTCGTTAGCACTATGTCACTTCGTCTGAGCCCACAATTGCTACAGCAAACATTTCAGGTTTAAGATATTCTTACCTTGATTTTCCTCTGTTTACATATGTCACAACCTCGACTTCTGCCTTCACTCTTTGGACGAACCATATTTACTGATGAAGTCACTTGAAAGCTTTTTCAGCTCAAACCTCATTCGGCATTTTGTATCTATATACTTCGATCTATAAGTTTACATTTTGTCATTCACAAAATGCCGCACAATCCTGACGGCACAACAAAGAGCATCGTGGCTGTAATCAAAGTCAATACTTGGTAAGCTTGCGTCAATGATACGACTTAGCCAAAGATTTCAAGAGATCCCCAACGACGTCTGCGCTTGAAACACGCTTGTTTGTGGCTTCCTGGGCCTTGGAGAGCTTGTTGGAGCTTGCTTGTATTAAGCACACATCCTTCAGCCTTCTTACCTTCTTCTTCAGTCCTGTTCCTGACCTTGGTGGGGACATACTAGATGAGAAAGGAGGCTTGGACAGCATCGAAGAGAGCCTCGCCTCGTAAATCGAAAGGGGATGGGCGTGAAGAAAGTGAGGAGAAGGTCCAATCAAGGCTTTCCCCTGTTCACATCTCATTGTACCCAGCTGATCACACTGTACCGAACTCAGCCACATTATCTGAACGTCGTTTCGGTCGTCGTGTAAACAATGCAGCACCAATCCGGTGGTGACCTGACACGGTATCACGCGTCTTAGCCATCTCGTGTTGGCTTGAGTTTATGATATATTGTATACGTGTACCCACCCGACTGCAAAAAGTAATTAGCCTGTGATACGTATCGTGAGATTGCATATAAAAGTGCTCTACTGTACATGCAATTAGAGGGATCTAGTGGAGGTTTGGACCTGGTGTTGAGGCTGTGTCAATCCGGCAGGCTGTGTAGTAGGGCCGTCTGATTGGTCATTACAGAAATCACTCCCGTTCCGGGGTGTGGGATAAGTTATGCCAAGGGGAAATAAGTCGTGCATTGTTATTTACATTTTTCTAGAGGATGTTTCGACCTGATGTTTAGTTGTTACCACTGTTAAGATATTTTGACCAGGGTCTGGATGCACATCCTAAGCTGCGGCTACCCTAGCTCCCGCATCAACAATTCAAGGCAGCAATATATGAATCCTACGCTCGTTATTGATAATGAAAAGTAAATAATCGACGGGACACGAGAACTCACCGCTTTCATAGCTTACTGATGATGAAGGAAAATTTCCTTTATTCGGTTACTTTGGGCTGGCACTTAATTTCCAATCTTGAGGCTGTGCTAAGCGTTGCGGGTATATTCACCGGCTATCGGCTATGAACCGGAATGCAACATTCATCCCCATCATGTGGGGAACGCCTTACAAAAAATTATTTGCAGAGATTTCGGCTCGGCTACAGGACACAACATCCCGAGCCGATTCTTGCGTTTCCTCATCATCTTGCAGCCAGTAATCTAACTTGCCCACTTTTAATACTATCCTCTATGAACCGAAATAATACTTTGCATATCCAGAAGTACAGTATGCCTTTCCATTGCCAAGAAATAACTCTCGCGCAATAAGGTTGTGCCTCGGAGGCCGATGACAATGGTGGAGGAGAGCCCCGCCCTTCAAACGCGCCAGAACATCTTGCAGTCGATGCTGCACCACGAGATAGAAGTGCCATTAGCTACCCTGCTTGTGCCACCTTTTCGAACGTGAGAGGATTGGATTCAGCTCTTCCGCGGTCGAAGAATATTGTATGTGCGATACGAGGCTTTCTAGAAGCATGGGAGCGGCGTAGTGTGCAACCTTACCCTAACGTAAATTCTTGCATAAAGGCGCGAATCAGGTACTCCTGCGACGTGTATTGTCCTTGGAAGTGCAACTTGCTGCCTAAGGGAAATACGTCAGTCGAAAAATAGGATCAAAAACATGCACCTTAAATTCTTCAGTCTCAGGCACAAGTATCTGAGGATGAGAGGAAGTAGCTTAATATCGCTGATGTGGTTGGATTTTGGGGCTTGGGGCGAGGTTGCTTATGTGGCGTTGAGTTTTAAGTTCTCACATGCTAAGAATCTACAACGGCTTGTTCAACAAAGGTGTGTAATATGCCGTCGGCGTCGACTGTTGGCCAACCTCAGATTAGACAAACGAGTAAGTGAATTTCTACACGATTCGTCGCTCATAGGTCGATTAAGTGATATAAGCTGCGCATGGAAGACGTAGCGAAGATTTTCAAGTTTGTGATGCGTGTAATATACGAATTATAGGTTAATCTTCGGATGTTGGACTCCAGTTTCCTTTTTGGTTTAATATACAACAACGGCATGCCAAGCGGTTCGGACAGGACAATCCAAGTCCTCATAATCAATGTGGTACATTAAAATTCTAGATGATCTATACCATAAGGACAACAATGCCCAAGTTGACAAAGAGATATAACTCTATACCTCCGGAAACTTCTTGATGATGGCACTGCAGTAATTTCAGCTGAAAGCGAATCTCTGTTGGTTCATAAAATTGAGCGATGACTCTCTTGGTAATATATAACCTTCGATTACTATCGAATTACGATATATGGCTCATGATCAGACTTACAATTAACCCTTATGTCGCCTTAGGGTTGCATCTGGAGGCTCATTCGAAACGGCCACATTGTACAAGGGCTAAACTAGGGGGATAATTTTTGCTAGACAGTGTACTTCCTCAAGCGAGTGATTGTGACCTCACTTGAACGTCTGTATAGTAGTTTCAGACAGAGAATATCGATGCTTCTATACTACTTGAGATCGGCAATACTGTTTAAGATGATGGTCTCATGGCCTGAGCCCTTGTTATCACCATCTTCAACCTTCCAGGTTTCCCGCTTATCATTAAACATCACACTCGGGGACTAATTATTCGCCTCAAATTTCTAGCATATTATATCCAGGCGACAGGTAACTGAGCTGACGGGCCAGTGAGCGACATGGCGTCGGATATCAAGCTGACGCTCAAAACGCTGGAAGATTGGCGCCGAGCATTGCCACCACCCATGTCTTACAAGCCCGACAACCTTGATATGTATTACAACAAGGCTGTGCAGCTGCTATTGCAACCTTTTCCTTTCGGGTACTGGCACCAGCGGGTCAGGGAATTACCTCTGTTACAGGCATTTGGTCAGATTTGTTAAAACTTCATGTGGTTTTATCAACAATGCTCATCCGGGTATCCGTTCAGCGTTGTGCATTTAGTATTTGTAGCTGGAGTTGCCATTTGGTATGCGAATTCTTCCTGCTTTGTTATATGTGCTAAACCTGTCAGCTGTTGTTTATTTCCCGTGCCATCGCACTGGATGTTCATAGCCTCAAATTATCTCTGAGCCTGTTTATCTGCTCTATTTGTCATAATTGAACGTATAACGGTCGTAAAAAACTACTGCAACGCCCTCGAGACTGTTGTCGGTGCGACCCATGGAGTTCCTGGCATAAGCGCCAGCGCCAGCTGCTTCTCTAGTCTTAGACCTTGATTCGTCAGCACGATTATCCAAAAAGACACCTCAATGAAGCCATTCACTCCTAATTTTGGCTCCTACCTTTAGCAAGAGCTACATCCAGAGAAGAACGACTTATCCGAACCCAGCGGGGGTTCTGGTTAGGGAAAACTCCACCAATGCGGTTGGATGTTTCACGTAAGATCGGAATCTAAGGCGAGTGAGGTGAGGGCAGAGAAAGGTGTAATGACCTGGGATAGATGGATGCGGAGTGGATATTGAGTTTGTGCGACAGAGATGGATTAAGTCTGTATCTGCTCAATAAGATGGTGAGGTTTAAGCCAAGTTTTGGGGTCTTTATTTTTAAGTATTATCTGTATCCTGACATCCCAGATTGGTTTAAAGCGAAGATCTTTTATTTCAATTTTGTTGTTGTTCAATGTATTTAGCTTCCTCAGCAAAAGAGAGAAGCTTGAAGGGAACAGTGTGAAGTCGGGGCACGAAAATTGTAAATCAGTAAATCAGTAATTCAGTAATTCATACAAGCATAAATCATTTTCCTTCAAGAATTATTAAGAAAAACCTCTAATCTAAGTTACGAAGATCTCTCATTATGGGCCTCGCAATACATATTACACAGATCCAGCTGTTAGCTTCGGTCATGCCAAGATTGGAAAGACGGTCCTTGTTGTCTGCTCTTCCAGCGTGTCTGTAAAGGTAAGCTATTGTAATTCTTCAATAAGGCTGAATTGGTCCAAAGCCTATATGTAGCAAATATAATAATTATTCTCCAAGGACTCGGCAAAGCTACTGATCGAGCTCTTTAGGCAGCTTTAAAAGCTGCTTGGATAGAAAATAAAATGGTTATTTAGAGGGGCGGGATGTCAGAAGTAAGAACAACAATGGATACAATGTCGAACTTGCGAGATTGAAAGCGACACACGGTGGATGGTTCTGTTGGGATGTCTTGGCAATTTTCGCTGAAGTGGGTTCTCGCTAGAGGCCCAGCCATGATTAGAATAATTAAAAAATTGTTATTTTTACAAGCATAGTTTATCGATAGAGTCATTAAACAGAAGCTAGTCTGATCAAGGCCTCTTGTATTTCGCTAAACTACACACTTTGAATATTAAGACCAACACTAACAAACTCTAAGTCAAAAGAAAATTCTGCAAAAAGCGATGAGTACATCTGAGCATTACTCAGGGTCGTGAACTCAAGAGATGGCTCTCTGACGGGGAGTCGAACCCCGATCTCCCGCGCATTGCCATACGAATGACAAGCGGAAATCATGACCGTTAGACCATCAAAGATGAGAATTTGTGAGGGTCCTGTTTATCATTTATTATATAATAACTCATATAAAATTTCACGGGTTAACGTGCCTCAATTCCACTGTGCCTGAAGAACTCTTTATCAAAGTCCGTTTTATGAACCAGTTTACCTATAGCAATTTAAACAATTGCTTTTCTAGTTATTTGTGTATAAACTGTTGTCAAGTTTAGTTTCTTGTAAACAGAAATAAGTTCTTCAAATCAGTTTTCACATAAATACTGCCCTCTCTACTGTTCACCGCCTGTCGCTTTAAATATTACTGTAATTTTCACAACTTATGTTTTTCACTGTTAAACACATGTTGCCCACCAAAGCCATCCTAGCGTCATGAACCACAATCTCAGCCTCCCATCCACCTTCGACAACGTTGGGGCCACTCTTTGCCTAGCATTATTTTTGGCTTCCTGTCCCATTCTCGAGGGAGCCGTGCGAGAAATCTGACACGGCTTGGTACAAATAATACAATTTTGAAAATCTACCGTTCTGTCAAAATGTCTTTTATGTGGACCCAGCTCTGGATGATCAAACTTTGGTTATATTCTCTTTGCAAAAAAGGGGAGGAGAAAAAAGGGGACGGAAGTGTTAGTTTCGTTAGCTAGGGCCTCTATCGAACTACGTTCTCGCCAGATTCAGAATTTGCATAGATATCACATCGTGATTTTTTATAAGGATGCATTATCTATGCGTTCTTCCAAGCCCTGAAGGTTCTCCACTCCCGAGTCCATGTCTTCAAGCCAGTTACATATCCTACGTATCAAGAAAGGGTCTCCACAGCTTGTGACTGCAAGATCAAAATCTCCCTGATCTTGACTCGACTCGAATATCTCAACCCGCCTAGGCTCCAGAAGTCTCATGTTTTCTAGAAAGATGCGTCGCAGCTGAGTGAGCTCATAATCCTCTAAATGTTCCCAGTAAAGTTCGGCAACTTCTCCATTTTTGTCGCGTTGATAAGCCCCTTTCATGGGCCGCAAGTCATGATGCTTGCCTTAGAGGACAGGAGGAAACTGGCAGGCAATCCATAATGGCAGAACTGAGACACACTCCCAATCCACCACACCCATCAGAACACCTTTCTTGTCCACGAGTATGTTGTGGTGAGAGAGATCATCGTGAAATATCATGGTTGCCTCGGCCCTTTGGTCTTTGACGGGAAAGAAATCTTTGATGCGGTTTCGTAGTTTTGAAATAATGATCATGGTTTTCTCTATTTCTTCTAGGTCTCCCTCTGCAGTGCTCCTATCCAAACTTGGGCTGCCTTCTTGATCCTCTAGCTGGTCCTGGATACTGGGGGAGTTGTTATTTAATCCTGTAACCTTAGAATTCTCAATCAAATCTGGAATTGATTTTTGATCTCCTTGATCTTCTTGTCGGCCTTCGTCTTGGAGATCGAGAGTGACGTAATCCTCATATTCCTCTTCGTCTCGGAGATCGAAAGGGCCGTTGTGCTTGTATCCCTCTTCCTCACTTTCATTGACTTCTTCTTTACTCTCATAATCATCTTCATCGCTTTCATCGTCCTCTTCATCACTTTCATCTTCTGCAATACTCTTTCTATCTTCATCGGAATTTTCGAGCTTCTTAAGACGGGTTAAGGACCTCTGACAGTTAATTTCGGCTAGAGTCAGTCGTGCAGACAGCCACTCTTTGCTAGAACGAAATGGTCCGCGATCTACATCTTGATGAATATGATCCTCCCAAAGGAAAGCTGCTGAAACGATTCGGCCAATCATAAGATGCTCCATATTGCCTTCTCGGCGAGGAAAGAGATTTTCGATCCCGTTCGTTTTTCGCTGAAAGGTCTGGGCACAGAACACTGCCAGGTCGTAGACAAGTTTTTTCTTAGCATCAAAATCTATATCGCGCCATACCTTTGCTAATGGCTTTCCACGAATCTTCTCCATGATAATATATTCAAACCCTATGGGATTCCTGCGATCAGTGTCGTATACTAGAACCTTTGGGACTGGAAGAAATGTCATCTTATGAACCCACTCCAACGTCGCTACCTCGCTCAACGTCTTCCACTTAGGGTCAACTGGCAAAGTAACTCGTACCACCACTGTCTTTCTGTAGTTCTTGACAATATAAAGCTTATTGAATGCACCCCGACCGAGAAATTTGATTGTACTGCGTAGAGGAACTGGCATGGTGGACTTGGCAACTTCTTGGATGGATTCCATGTTTAAACGAACCGTCCATCGAGGTTCAGCGCCCCAGAGATCTCTAACCCACTTTAGACCACTAAAATCTGCGGCTGACTTTGAAATTCCAATTTCGGTCATCTTGTACCGCCAAACATTGAGAGCCGATAGAAAGTTTATCAAAGCTCAAGATGTGACTGTCAGCGCTCAGCTTTCTTAAATTAATAATGTAGACACCGCCTTCAATAGGGTTCTTGGGCTGAGAATACGGCGATTAGCTCATGTTTTGATTATAGGATTATTACAGCAGAATGTGTGGTTGGGCTAGTTGAGGCAGTGAATAAAGAAGTGGAGAAAGTTGAAGTTCAAACAATCAATCTTTGCCATTTTAAGTTAGCCGACATGTGTATTTCACTAACTAGTGGAACAGACCGATCTTCCTGTTAAAGAAAATACTAATTAAGAAATATATTCACTATCGAAGCTGTTATTGATTTCACTATAACAAGTTAGCTAATTCAATTATCTATGTTCTGACTATTTTGAGCATTGTCTACCACTTGCAAATCATATGACTATTCTCGACAAAACTTTTCATCCCTCCTGCATCTCCCCGCAGTAAAATTGCCATTACATAAAATCTTAGTTAGTTCTAAATAACATACCCGGCGATAATTTTAATACAATTCCCTTTTGTAGTCACTGTCTGGTTGATATTACTGTTGCAATAGCTTGAGACGTCGTCAACTGCGTGCGACCCAAACTTCAATTGAGTTTCAGAGACAGCTGTCATGTTTTTACTCGGAGACAGAGTTTTATTTCCATCTACTACATGCATGTATTATGGTGCAACTCCGGCTTCACTGCCAGCCTTCTTCAGCGGTGAACCATGGGGTGGTTATTGGCCGAACATAAGCATTGTGGGCAGCTGACGCCCATTGGGCTCGCATTTAATTATCTATGTTACTTAAAGTGCAACTCGAACTTTCATACCAGCGATAATTTATGAAATCGCTATTGGCTAAGTGTCGACGTGGTGGGCACCTTACGGCCAGGCTCGCCATTTAATTATTCTACAGCAAATATCAGAGATACCACCTAAAAGTCGATTAATATCACACATACCACCTTTTTGGTATCACTCTATCAAAGATACCACTTTTGTGGTATCTGTGATAGACTGCAACAAATTAGTGGTATCTCTGAAACGTTATTACAAATTTTAGAATACTGAAGCTACAAGTTCGAGACTTGCACGCAATATTGAACCTTTTCTTGTCGGAATGTGTAACTTTCCACGATTTGAGAGCATTCGCAACGAGAGTTTTGATAGCTAATTTAGCTTGATCTATATTATCGAAAAAGTCACTTATTTGGAGCGCTATGATCGAGATATTAAAGGAAAAAAGCCAAATTATCAAATTCGAAGCTTTTGTGCGTTAAGTGCACTAGCTCGCTTTAGTGTAAATCAGTAGTATTTCTGATATATTCATGCAAAGTGATGATATTTATGATATTAAAATGGTTTACAGTATTATATCAGAGATACCACTATTTTGCATGTAGTGGGTCCACATCCACGGCAGTCTACGGGAAAGTGCTTGCCAAGGCTATTATTACCTGGGCCATGTGTGCACCTCGGCTATTGACAACACTCGAGCTTGACGAGGCCCTGAGACTGGATCTCGAGGATTCAATCGATAGTGCCAAGGCATCAATCAGGTCAAGTTGTGGTCATCTGGTCTACGTGGATAAACAGACTCGTGTCCAAATGATTCACCTCACTACCCGTGATTATCTCCTGCAGGCTGGCAGTGACTCTGAATTCTCTATCGATGAGAAATAAGGTCACTGCCGGCTGGCAATGACTTGTTTGCAGTTTCTCAGCAGCGGCGGTATGCGAGGTACTCGACGTCGAAGAGCACGCCTTACCAGCGACACGAAAAGTCGGCCTCAATTCATTGGGCACGCTTGTGAATCACTATTTGAACATCTAACACATCTTTGTTGGGAAGACACGGGTGTTCGGTAGTGTTGGTGCGATTCTTTGACTCGCCCAATATGCTTTCTTGGATTGAATGGGTTGCAAATAATTCCGATTGCATTCGTCGGTTGATCGATACTAGCAAGGCACTGGAAATTTTTCTCGAAGGGAATGAAGGTTCAATCACTGAAGCCAAGGGTCCAAGAGAATTGCGGTTTCTAAGCTCCTGGGCTACCCGATTGGTGATGAAGTTTGGAGACAACCTTGTGGACTATTCGGCCTCGATATGGAATCTGATCCCTCCCTTTTGTCCGTCTGGAACAGTTCTAAGGGAAAGTTTGGACCGGCATCGCCTAATATTAGTGTACGTGGTGTGCGAACTGATACGTGAGGTGACAGCCTGTTGACTATCGCCAATCCTTGTGAATAGTTCTCGAGTATATTGTCGTCCAAAACCCATTTGCTATCGGCTGTCACAGTGGAAGGATCATGGTATTTAAGCACACTTTGCATCAACAGGTCATAACCTTCGACCATGTGGAATCAGTCAGACTATTAAGCTTCAGCTCCCGAGAGGATCAATTGGTATCAGCAGGCCCAAAAGTCATTGAAATCTAAAGCGAAAATCCAAGTACAGAAAATTGATGGACCCCAGCAGTGCATGGCACTCACCTTCATGGAAAATGTCCGTTATTTAGCAGCAGCTATGAAGGACTACCGTGTCAAGATCTGGGATTTGAACAATAGTGAATTGGGGGACAACGTGGACTGGACAGAGGGACTGGAAGAAATGACATCACGGCTGTGCCGTCGGCCCATCACGGCCGCGATTTCGTTGGAGTCTCAGCTTCTT